TAGCCCTCTGTTTCTCTGGTCTGGATACAACTAGACGTAGTTGCTTGCACAACTGCTGGAGTTCTGGAATGAACAAGCCGCACAAAACCCGAACATATCTTTCCAGAAATCATACAAAATACTTGTACATACCCCGGCCCTGACAAGGAGCTTATAGGATGACATGCGTGCCCAAAATAGCACATCCCAGAAGGCTCGCACATCTCCGTTCCAGAGATGCATGCAAGTTTCCCTGATTCCCTCCTGCAGCTAGGCTTGGCTAGTTTCTAGATTCCAAACTGTTCTTCATAGCCCCCATCCCTATATTCTGGATGTTGAGCCTAGAGCATGGATGCGAACGCACGCGGGAACCTTTTTTCCGCTAATGAGATGCTCTGATGGGCTGGGAGATAGCCAAGTCGTTGGCGATATCCGCACAAACCACTAAGAAAGCATCCGATCGAGCACTGTTAGCACAGTTCTTCATGAGTTGAACCAGTACCGCTACCTTGTCTGCAAAAGCGCCCAACAAACTTAGCTACACCCCCCAAGAATAAGTAACCCCCACATATATACATGTCCTCTACGGTACCCAGGTGCTCTGGGATTCCAGGTTTGTTTAGTAGTTTCCCAAAATAGGGGGACCCCAATATACTATAATCCTTATTATGGGGATCCCCAAAATGGTACCCCTAATTCCAGGTTTGCTTAGGAAAGGCTACCTCCCTGCCCAGCGAAGCTTCTGTCCGTCTCAGCTGCGGTCGCGCAGAACGGCGCGCTGCAGCCTTATCAGGGTGAGCTCTACCATTTGGTAGCTTCCCAAAATAGGGGTTATATATAGGGGTTATATTGGGGCTATATTACAGGTAATATTGGGGGTTATATCAAGGTTATATGGTAATTTACCAAAATAGGGAGACCCCAATATAGACCCCAAAATACTGTGATCCTTATTATAGGGACCCCCAAAAAGGGTACCCCTAAGTTTGGGAATCCCCCATGTATACTCTGCATTCTCACTGGAACCCTCTAGCATCCCTAGGGATCTTTTAGGGTGTGGGGGTTATTGGGTGGGTTAGGATTTAAGGATTTTAGGGTTTAGGGCTTAGGATGTTTTAGATTTCGTTCGTTGTTGCCAGCTTTTACTTGCGTACGGAGCCAGTGTCTTTTCTTAAGCAAATCTATTTGGAGCTCCATGTTGTTTACGGAGGGTAACCCCAACACAGTCATCAGGGAGCCTCAAAAAGGTAACCCTAATTTTGAGAAACCCCCACATGCCTCGAGGTAAGCCCAGAATCTTCCGGGACTTTCCAGCCAGAAGGCAGCACATTCTCTGCCTCCAAAGCCTGGAGCAAGGCGGCTTAAGGTTCAGCGAATTCAGGACGTAGTGGGCTTCTGCCTTTTGAGTGTTACAGGTTTGGTATTTTGGCCATATAGAAACACCCAATCTGAAACAAGTTTCCATTTCGTGTTCCAGTTTAATTCCAACTTGGTTTTCCAGTATAATACTTATTCTGGCCCCTCAACCCCAAAACCCTGGATTATACAGGAGCTTCGAGTCTTCGTTGTTGGTAGAATTGCAATCTTTTCTTCGGCCATTGCTGCTGCTACATCACGCATTGTCTGGCTTCGCTGTCGTTTCGCTGACAGAGGCCTACCCACTGCTTCAGGTTTACTGGGGCAGTCTGTCTGCCTGCTGGCCAACAAGGTTCCTCAATTGTTTGCAGCATGTCCGGACGCCCCCCTGCCAGTGTACAGCAGATCACCAAACATGATCTCTCCCCCAGCGTGTCCACAAGCTTGTGGACCTAGACCCTCATAAGCCCACACAAGTGCGTTTCTCCGAAGGCCAGAGCAAAGTCAATGCCTCAATCTTTGCTGACTCTGGAGGGGGTCTGAATCTGAACTTCGTCTTGAATGAGCGCCAAGGAAGAGATTGCAGCGGCCCCTGGCACAACAGGAATCAAAACAACTTTCAAACAAACCAATCCAAAAGCTTGAACCAAGAGCACTGCATCCATGCCGGAAAAACTCAAAAGCCAGACCCCTAGTTAGACCGCACCAATTAACGAACCTGTCCTGGAATCCGGAATGGCGCAAAGATGTTGCCATGCAACTTCAACAACCCTGCAAAAGCCTTACACTATCCCTAATTTTCCAATCCCCAAACATGCGTGCATGCGAATGGCACCGTTAGTCTTCTATATTTCCGCACAAGGAACCCTCCTTCTTGAAGCTTTCTCGGGTGGGGCCTTGAGCAGCTGTGGCAGGCGCTCCTTATCCAGAAGCTCCTCTGCGGAGTGACGGCGCCGCCGCAGCTCCTTTTAGTGTCATGCTGGGGTTCAAGCTCAACCTCAACCACTGTTTGCCAAGATGCACCCTATCCAAGAGCCTCCTACACGGCTCATGTTCGCATCATTTGCTGGCGATTTCATTTTCAGAGGCCCATTTAGTTCTTGATTGACCCACAAGTGCCCTCAAAGCACATTCACAAACCTCCCGACCTATGCTTTGCTCTGAGGGAAGTGTGGCAAACTCTTGCTGATCTACTGCCTGTATAGCTGGCACTGTGCTACTGCTATGTCCTTCCTACACAAACTCGAAGACAAGGCAGCTTAGGAATACACACAAGAATACTTACATCAAGACTTGAACCTCCAAGATAGAACCCCAAACCACACACACCAGCCCCTACAGTACGCTTATGCTTGTATACCCCACTGCGGACCCCAAACCCTCAATCCCGAAGCGAACAGTACAAAGGAAACCAGTCCTGGTTACAGCACTCCAGCAGCTCTCGCCGCGCTACTCCATTTCGCTCCGCCTGCTGGGCCTGGGTGCAAGGCTTTCTACGGACAGTAAAGGTTGAGGGTTGAGGGTCTTTAGGTGCGTGGCTGTTGAATTTAGGGTGATGGGCTTCCTTGGTTGATTTGACAGGATTGTCTGTCGAACTGTTGTCTGGGATAACAGCCTGAGATATCCCTGTTCCAGGGTTGGGGTTCAGGTCTAACGATTTGGTTTGTTTCGGTTCGCTAGGGATTGGGGGCTGAGCTTTGGTTTGAGCCATTATCACTGACATGCTTACGGGTCAAATTGCCGAGGTTGAAGAGCTGATGAAGACCTATTCTGAGTACTGCGAAGCCACTGCTAACGCAGCCATGGAGGGGATGAATAGCTGCCAAGATTGTATTAAAAGCTCCCGGGCTTCTTTCCTAACTCCTCAAGCATTTGAAGGGGGGTAGCAGGGCACCCTGAACTCTTTCACCCTACTATCTCGGGCATACCAAGAACCTCCTGTGTAGTTCCTGTTTGGGGAATATACTACAATCCCTTACCAGAAAACTATAACAACACGAAAAGAACTCACCCCCTAAACCCTAAACAGTCCATTTTATTTTCCATTATCCCAATAATATAACCCTATATAATACTTAAACTCCCCTTCACAACCCCTATAACCCCCAAAAACCCTATGGAGCCCCCTGGGTAGCCAAAGTACCAGCAACGACCAGGCCAGCGGATGTTCTTCGCTGAGCCGCTCGAGCCCCGCAAGCTGCTGAACCAGCCTCTGTCAAAGGGCTACCATAGGTTATATAGGGTATATAGGCATTATATAGGGGTATATATCTATATATTTATAGTAGGGTTTTAGGGGGTTATAGGGGCCCTTAGATTTTCGAGGGCCGCATGATAATGGGGAAACCCAAGGGGGACCGTACTTTGTGGGGGCTCAAAGGGACCACAACTCAGGCCGATAACAATACCTAGGTTTCTTTCATGGGGATGTCTTCTGTTCGGAGGGTGCGGGGGCGGTGTTTTAGGAGGCCATATTGCTGTGCGGACCCAAAGACGACCATAATTTTGACGTCAATATTTCCGACATAGATTTATGGACATGTGCTCCTGATTACGGACTACATTAGGGATGAGACGAAACCACAAAAGGGACCCCTACATCGGGTCCCTTAACGAGGCTGATATTGACTGTAGCTCAGACAGGCAATGTAAACGGACATGAACACTACTCTAGATGACATGAACCATTAGCACATGCACGTCGGTGCTGTGAGATTTGGCATCAGTTCCATCGCCTAGATCAGAACCACTTCTGTTCGCTCCGTTGAATGCTGATATTTCTGGGTGCTCTGGGTCTGGCTTTGAAGGCTCGGCTGGATACGAACCTTCTTTGTCTAAGCCGGACACGAAAGCCATGTCAAGAGACAGTAAGCCATCACGCCCTGTGCAATACCTACCCTGCTTGTTGATTGCAAAAGTGACCCCATACTCCAATCCTTGACACGGGCCCTAAAATCCTATCAAAATGCCTCTGGAGCTGAAGTCCCGAAATGGAAGATTCCCCAAATAGGAGAACACCAAGACAAAGCCCAACAAGTTATGATCCTTATTATGGGAACCCCCAACATGGTGCACCTAAGTTTGGGAAACCCCCAAATAGGAACCAGGATTTTGAGACATCCCGTGGCGAGCCCAGCTGCGAGGCTGTCGCGGACTTGGAAAGCTCGCCGGAACCAGTGACCATGTCCAGCAATGCTCGCAGGAGCATGCACTGCTCCTCCACATGACATGATAATGACTGTTCACATATGCTTCTTTGGGGGATCCTAGAATAAGGATTATAGTACTTTGGGGTCTATCTTGAGGTCTCCCTATTTAGGGAAACCATTATACTTCTTAGTGTCAGGGTCTGTCAGATCTTAGCATCCAGGTGCAACTACCAAACTGATTGCGATTTCAAGTGCTACCGCAAGCGCCGCTCCTCCACAGTCTGTCGCTTCCGCTGCTCCTTGGTCCACACCCCTCAATCACAAGAAGACCCCAGCATCCTAACTGACCAACAAAGATGTACCTGCTACCACGATCACGACTCCTACAGTGGCTATTCTTCCTTTGCCAATGTCATGCCTGTCATTCTACACAATTAACCACCCTCGAAATCAAATTTGAGCCCCAATAAGCCGGAATCAGACTAAATAAGCCTTACCCTCAATCCCTAAACGACTCAAACTCAACTGTGACATTTTTACATGTTGCCTCAGACCTCCAAACCTTAGCCCATACTTGCCACAACAAAGGCACTCCAATCTTGTAACCACTGCTACCAAATCCAAGTCAGCCACAGATCCCCAAGCCCAAGTCACAGAACTCCAGTACCTTCTGGAAATATGTCATAGCCTACCCCAAAGCCCTATAACCTCATTTGCAGACTTCCACGTCCCTACCCAACTCCAAAAAAACCCTCCTGTCAAGCCTAGATCACCCTTGCAAAAACATGCCTGTATCCCCCAAAAAAACCATGAAGCTCCCAAAAGCCTTATCAAAAGGAGCCCAGTCTCCGCGTCGAGGTCTTCCAACTCCGCGCGTTTGCGCTCTGCCACCAGCGCCTCGGGGGCAAGCGATGATGGTGAGCGGCCTTGGGGTTGGGGAACTACCTTTACCAGATACCATAATTCACGTAACTTGAGACCTTCTGCAGCACAAGGCTAGGAATGGGGCTCAGGGGTGTCGGGGGGCTGGAGTGCATAGGGACTGTTTGACGTTGAGGTCTTGACTTGACGTGCGGGGTAACGTTTTCGGGGTTTAGGGTCTTCGGTCGCACAGGGTTTCAGACTTCGTGTGTAGGCCTGCGGACTCGAATCTCATGCTGCGGATGGACGACACCAGCAAGATCCATAGTACACATACTTTCTACGGTTCTTGGTATGCAGGATCCTGCAGAATTCAGTTCCCCAAGCTGGACCAGCCACCTTCTTAACCCGAAGTACTAAACCCTGAATCCCAAGCCTCAAACCTTACCTCCTAAACTCTACCTGGCACGTAGTAAGGAATGAAGGATACAATACCCGGTAATGGCCCCAAGAATCATTCTCCCATTTTCCCTAAACCCTAAACCCTTAAACCCTAAACCCTAAACCCATTTTCCCTAAACCCTAAACCCTTAAACCCTAAACCCATTTTCCCTAAACCCCTAAACCCTGTCCTCGCGCAGGACAGCCATCTCCTCGTTGGCCTTAACCGCTTCGCTCCCAGGTGGCAAGGAGGCGATCAGCTGCGAGGAGCTGAAGGACTTGCCGCCTTTCAAATATTGGGGATAGATAGGGGTTATATAGGGGATATATAGGGGTTATATAGGGGTTACATTGGGGTTACATTGGGGTTTAGGGTTTAGGGGTTTTGGGGTTATTTTCTGGGATGTATTGGGGTTATCCGCCGACCTTGGGGGGCGTGTTGGATGGTTGCCGAAGGCGGAGAGGGTGAAAACCCTCTGCCTAAAAGGCCCCAGGCCCCTGGAGGGCCGGGCCCCAAGCCCTGGGGGCCCGGGCCCCAAGCC